ATAGGATTGTCTTTAAAAAAAAAAAAAAAAAAAAAAAGATAGGATTGTTTGTTATTTGATTAGCTCTTTAATCTTTGTGTTAAGGACTAAACACTCGTTCAAGAGCCTTCTTTAGTATAATATATTTGTATTGTTTTTTTGTTTTTTGTGTTTTTGTAGGTGAGGAACCTCCAGAATCTTTGTTTATGAAAGAGTTGAAGAGACGAGGTATGACTCCTACTTCATTGCTCCAAGACTACGAAGTAGATGTTGATGAGATCAAAACCAGTGGTAAAGAAACTAGAAACAGTTCCTCTAAAACAACTGCCACTACTACTCCTCCCTTCGACCAAAGCTTGTTAAACCAGAGGGAGAGATCCTTGGCTTTAAACAGCGAAGGGCTTGAGGTCAGAGATATAGGCATTTACTAGTTTCTTCTCATAATAACAGTCAAGACTGTGTTTAATTGTGTTGTGTTGCAGGGATTGATTCCACGTGCTAGGATCTTGCTGACGATTGGAGGGACTTTCTTCTTGGCTTTTTGGCCCTTGATGGTCTTAACTCTTGGCGCCTTCTCTGCCCTTTACCTTGTAAGTTGATAAAGGTTCATTATCCTTGAATTAAAGATTGCAATGAAGAAGAGAATTATATTTTGAGATTAGTTCAAGATGTCTCTTTTACTCTTCAAAACAACGAACTGATCAAAGACCCATTTCTGTCTTCCACATTCTTCTCACACATTGTTTCAGTGAGTTTGTAGGGTTTGTCTCTAGACTCTACGTATGGAACTGATTGTGTTTGTTATGTTTGAAAATTGCAAGTACTTTGGAGCAGATTTCGTTCATGATGGAAGCAGAACTCCGGTTTCACCACCACCCTACATTGATCCATATGCTCTCTTGGAGGATGAGAGGATCAATCCTCGTCTAAATGAGCACCAACAACATCTTCTCTCTGCTCCACACAAGTAGTAGTTTATTGTTGCACTAAGTATACTAGGAAAAGAACCCGTGCGATATCGCACGGAAACTCATTTTATAAAAATAATATCCTACTCCTGATATCGTAATAAATATATTTTAATTTTTATTAATATGATCCTTATAATTTATAATATTACCTTCAATTTCTAAAACACCAACATTTTATTATATTAAGATAATAATTAAATAATATCAGTCAAATTAAAAAAAAATTATACATTTACCTTTTTGAAATTATTTAATGGTTTTGTATTGAATATTTTAAATAATTTAAAAGATAAAGTGGTATTAAGATAAAAAAAGTACTCTAGAATTTATCGGGTTCTCTATCAAAATTCTCCAAACTAAGGTTAGAATAACAAATAATTTTTATGTGTTTTTCAAAAATCTTTGAAGATCATTTAACTTTGAATCTCTCACTTCTCCATTCTTTTGTGATTATTATGATTTTCTAAATGTGATTTATTGATGTCTTCAACATTTTTTATAGATGACTAAAAATTGCAATGGTTGTTAACCAAACATTACAATAGTTATTTAAGGGTTACAATGGTTTAACACCAAAAGTTACAATGTCACCAAATCATCAACTGTTGCAAGGAGTAATCACCAAAGATGACACTGGAATTTCACAAAAAGTTATATCCACCAATAGTTGCAATGCTTCATTTAACCTATTGTAGCTGTTCCACCATAAAAAAATGCAATAGTTAATTTAAACGCTTGTAAAGTTTCACTTAAATCTTTAACAATCATTTCTCATTTATGTGTAATAATTGATTCACTAAATAAATATCACATATATCATACTATGCATAAAAGAAAATATTTTAATCAATGTATAAATATATATTTAGACATTTTGACAACTTTTAACCTCATTAAATCCTTAAGATGAAATAAAATAGGATATCATAACCAAAATATGTTAGACTGGATATCATAACAAAAATATGTTAGACTTATATTAATATGACCCTCCTTATTTATTATACTACCTTAAATTTACAGGAAAGTTTTTATAAAACGCCAACGCTTATTATATTAAACTAATGCAATAAAAATTTACTAAATTGATAAATAGGATTTACCTTTTTGAAATCCTTAATGATTTTTATTTTGTGATTGTTGCGATTTCTGGTTATGATTTATCAATGCTCATAGAGGAAAAAAAGTTGCAATGATTGGTTAACACCAAAATTTACAACCATTTGTCACCAAATGTTACAAGTACCAACAATTGTAAAAGTTCATCACCAAAAATTGCAATGGTTCATCACTAAAAGTTATATTCACCAACATTTGCAATGTTTTACATAAGTAGTTGTAACTATTCCACCAAACACCTGTAATGATTCCTTAATCGGCTGCAAAGATTCACTTAAACCGCTAATAATTCTATGTGTAATATTGATTCAGTAAATAAAGAACACATATCAAAACTGATACATAAATAGTTTTTTTAACCAATGAAATAATTAGGATAAAAGATACATATTTATAAATTTTGTCAACTTCTTTTAAACTCATGCAATTTTTAGAATAAAGGAACACATTATTTGTATGCAAAGACATATTTTGGACATTTAAACAAATACAATTATTAAAATAAAAAACACAATTAAGATGAAATGACATACTTATATATTTTGATAACTTCTTTTAAACCAATGCAACTTTTAAAATGAAAATATACATTTTAAAGATGAAGAAACAACATTTAACATTTGTTTAGTTATTATAAGTCGTATTTTTATAATATATTATGAAGACACACATCACTACAAAAGACACTCCACTACATATCAAAGGTATATTTTAACAACTAATCAATAATTAAATTGTCTTTATGCCACAATTCATAAAATTAATAATTTAGAAATACATACTTAAAAAAAATCCAATAGTTTCACGTCGGAAAAAAAAAAACTCATTTATATGAAAAATACAAATCTAATAAATTACTAGACGAAAGATAATACTATCGTTATGTAATTTAGTTCAACAACATAAATGTAAATCTGATGAAAAGGTTGTGTTTATTCATGTGTGTACACGAGTTTATATATTACATAGACCACCGACTCTAACACAACTCTTAGAGATAACTCCCACAACTAACTACATAATTATCTCTAATACTCAAGTATATCCAAATATATTACAATATCTTAACCTCCTATACTCCCCCTCAAGTTGTGAGTATGAAAATTTCTTACTCCCAACTTGAACAATAACGTCTCAAACTGAGCTCTCCCAAGAGCCTTAGTCAACACATCCGCCACTTGCTCTGTTGTTCGAACATGAACAGTCTTCAGTATGCCATCTTGTATTGCATCTCTCACTTGATGACAGTCGGATTCGATATGTTTGGTTCTCTCGTGGAAGACTGGATTGGCTGCTATGTATATAGCTGATTTGCTATCACAAAACAACTCGGACGACTTCACTTGCTTCACTCCCAAGTCACACAACAACCTTCGCAGCCATTTTATTTCCCTTGTTGCTTGCGCCATTGACCTGTATTCCGCCTCCGCAGACGAGTGTGAAACCACCTTTTGTTTCTTTGTTTTCCACGAAACCGGCGAATCACCTATCAACGCTACATACGCACTCAAAGACCTTCTGGTAACTGGACACGCCGACCAGTCGGCATCACAATACACTGACAAATTAAGATCAGTTCGAGAACTGAGCAGAATACCCTGTCCAGCTGTACCCTTAAGATATCGCACAACACGCATTGCCGCCTCCCATTGTAACTCCCTTGGTGCTTTCATAAACTGAGACAGTATGTGTACTGGATAAGAAATGTCTGGACGGGTTATAGACAAATAAATCAATCTTCCTACTAATCTCCTGTACTTCTCTGCATCAAGAAGAAACGGACTCGTATCCACCCCAAGTTTGTGATGTTGTTCCATTGGAGTAGCTACCGGTTTTGCTCCAAGTAAACCCACTTCTGCAATTAAGTCTAAAGCATATTTGCGTTGAGTAAGCATAAATCCTTCTTCTCCACGCCCAACTTCTATACCAAGAAAGTATTTTAGCTTCCCCCAAGTCCTTCATGTGAAAGCACTTACTCAAATACTCCTTGAACTTGTTCACAAAACTCACATCATTGCCACAAACTAGCAAATCATCTACATAAATTAGCACCCTCAACTCCACGCCTCTTCTTGAATACACAAATAATGAGTAGTCTGCATATGAGTGTTTAAACCCATATTTCTTTAGTGCATCGGTTAGTTTGGAGAACCAACACCTGGGCGCCTGTCGAAGTCCATAAACAGCTTTGTGTAATCTACACACTTTGTTTGGATCACTGTGTTGAAAGCCTTGTGGAAGTTTCATATACACCTCCTCCTTGAGATCACCATGCAAGAAAGCATTATGGACATCCATTTGATGCACTATCCATCCCTTAGCTGCAATCACACGTAATAAGCATCTAACAGTCGTCATCTTGGCCACCGGCGCAAAGGTTTCCTTGAAATCTCTTCCTTTTATTTGTTTGTTTCCCAATGCCACAAGTCTAGACTTGGCTCTCTCCAAACCATCTGCGTTATATTTATATTTATAAACCCACATGTTACCAATGGCCTTCTTGCCTGGTGGTAAATCCACCACACTGAACGTTTTATTCTCTTCGAACGCTCCCATCTCCTTTTGCATAGAATTTCTCCAAATCTCGTGTTGCACTGCCTCCTTATAGTTTCTTGGCTCTTTTCCACAAGTTATAGCCGCCAAAAATGCCTTACGATCAGGAGAAAAACGTTCATCAGAGATATAATTCTCAATGGGGTATGGAGTGTTACCTTGGACAGTTGTCGAGGACTCTGATATGAGAGGTGGAGCTGAGAGATCGTGATGGGGTGTTTTCAAGTACTGAGCATTGTAGCTGATGTAATCACGTAGCTTCACTGAAGGTATCTTGTCTCTGCAACCTCTTCCCATCTCTGCAGCAACCTCAACAGCTGCAGTATGTTCCTCGTTATCAACTTCTTGACTCTGTTTTTCCTCTTCACTAGTCTCCATTGAACCCGTAACAGGTACTGTGGGCTCAGGTAAATCACTCCCACTAACTGCATTATCAACGTTAAGGATCCACTCATCACTCGGTATTCCAGTGTTGTCTCTCTGATCTTCAACCGTGACACTTGTTTCTTTAAAAGGAAACTCATTTTCAAAGAAACTCACATCTCTTGATATTAGAAACTCATTTTTCTCCAAATCATAAACTCTCCATGCCTTCTTGCCAAACGGATATCCAACGAAGACACAACGTCTACTCCTCTCACCTAGTTTATTTTTAACTCGATCACGCTTATGTACATAGCAGAGTGACCCAAATACCTTGAGTGCATCGTACGTAGGCTTGGTACCAAACAACTTCTCATACGGAGTGCTTCCTTTCAACAGTTTTGAAGGTGTCAAATTAATCACATGAGTAGCTGTTGAGATAGCCTCCCCCCAAATACTGGCATGTTTGACTGAAACAACAATGCCCTTGCCACATTCAGAATGTGCCTATGCTTTCTCTCCACTCGGCCATTCTGTTGTGGTGTGTCCACACACGTTGTTTGATGTATTATTCCCTTGTCTCGAAAGTACTCTCCTAAGCACAGAAATTCCGTACCATTGTCACTTCGCACACTTTGAACTGAAAGACCAAACTGCTTCTCAGCATAAACACAGAAACGTTGCATCACCTGTTTAACCTCTGACTTTGCAAGTAATAAATAGGTCCATACAGCTCTTGAAAAGTCATCGACTATGGTAAGAAAATAATTAGCACCACTGGAAGCAGGTACACGATACGGTCCCCACACGTCTACATGAATAAGCTCAAAACACTTGCTTGTTTTATTAATACTATCATGAAACACATCTCTTGTTTGCTTTGCTCTAAAACACACGTCACAAGGACTAGAGTAAGCTTTATTACCAACACCAGAAAGCTCAGACAAAGAATTAAAAACACCAAAAGCAGGATGTCCAAGTCGTCGATGCCACAACAGTCCATTACCACCACTCTCTGCTCTGTTTGCTCGTACGACTCTCACATCTTTAAAATAGTACACCCCATCACGCTCTTCATCGGCTCCAATCAGAGGCTCCAAGACTCTCTGCTCTGTTTGCTCGAACTTTTCTGCTAGTCAGTTCATTCGTACTCTTTTTTTCTGAAATATCCACTGATTAGATAATTCCAAAAATATGGCTATCTTAGATAAATCACCATAATTGTTCCTCGTGAAATCATCTTTCTCTTTTAACAGCAATTAACTCTAAATATTACAAAGATAATTTTAGAGCTTCAAGAAAGTAGTCATCTAAACTTAAGATGTAATAAATTTTTAACAAGTTATACTGGTCGACAAAAAAACTTGAAAGAGAAGCAAGGGACCATACAAGATTATAAATAATGGGTGAGATTCGTGAGAATAATCTCAAAGAAGGCACCAAGTTGTTTTTTTGTGAGTTACAGTGAGAGATTAATCTCGTCTAAATTTTAAAGAAAAGAATTTTCAAATAGAAATTTAAATTCCGACAAACACGTTGATCTTACATGATGAACAGAGAAAAAACATGTTCTCGAAGACCCTTCTTGTTGACGAACAAAAGCAAAACTAAGAATACGAACACAACCAAAATTCAGGCACCATTGCTCTTGACTAGTCAATTACACAACACATATTCACGTTGTGATGTGATGAATCTGGAAATTTCAAACAAAACCCTCCAACACTTGTTCTTCCCATCTAAACTTGTGCAGAAGACTCTTCAGAATGATCAAAGTAATTTAGGGGGAAGAAAGATACATCTGACCTCAAACGGAAGGTGTGTGTGTGTGTGTGTTTCGCCCAACACTTTGATCTACTTCATAGAATTGCAACATAGATGACTCGATCTGATACAAAACCCACGATGGATATACACATTGGTATAAACAAGTTACTCATTTCGTACATGCATATTTAACAATGAACTTGACAATAATTTCCAACGCTATCCAAACCCAAGATTGCAGAAATGAAAAGTTCCATGAATGTATACAGAACCTATTACAATGCCGACAAGTTCCACGAATCAACAGTCAAGACAATAGATTCAAATTCTGGAGCTTTGAAATACATACCTTGTTGTCCTCACGAAACTCAACCTCGTTCCAACAGCGACACAATTTCTCGGAGTCTCAAACAAAGGCATGGAATATCGCTTGTGAACAACTATGACATCGAAATATATAACGTCAGAGCAAGGCATGTCCACAGGCTTCATTTAGCCGGTAACCAAGAGATCCTTCGCCGATAAACCACCGATGCTTCCATAACCTATATATCGTTCCTCGTAACGTTGGCTTCGTAAATATGTAAACTTCTTAAAACCTATACAATCTCTTCAGTATATAAAATTTTGAATAGATACAACTTTTAGACAATAAAGCTGTGTGTGAAAGGATGCAACTCTTCATAGACAAAAAAAGAAAGAAATGATGCAACTCTTAAAGGGAAATAATTTCTGCAATTTATTTTGGAGACGCCTTTGTCCTTTGACGAGATGCGTTAAAGACGTCGATTGCTAATGTGAGTTATGGCGTCATACCCTTAATCTAAAAAAAATTATAGCCGTTGGATTATATTCTCAAAACTCTTTTCATTGTTAGATTTTAATTTTTTTTCTTATAATAAAAAATGACATCATCACTTAACATGTGTTTCAAAACATATATTTTAAACAGAATCCTTTTAACTAACTTATGAAAATATGGATTATTTCAAAAAAAAATTTTTTAAAAAAATCATTTTATGGAAATAATACATGTGCTAAATGAAAAAATATTTTTATACACTAATACAAAATTACAACCTTTCAGAATATATGTAAAAAAAGTTTTTTAGGATATTAAAAATTAAAAATACAAAATTACAACCCTTCAACTTAATGATAAAACCAAATGATGATTTAATAGTTTGAAACACGCAAATATATGAGTTGAAGAGACATAAGTAGAAAAAGATGCAACTGTCCAAGTCTTTTTTTTTTCTAACAACGCAACTTTTCAAGTTTTTTTTTATGAAACACAAAGAACATAATTTAATAGAATTGAAAAGGCATAAACTAAATAGAAAACAGTTATAAATGAAAAGGTATGATGTTCATAATATATAAGGAACAGTTCTGAACAAAATTATGATGAAAAGACACAATTTTAGGAATTAATTGGATTATTATTATTAATTGTACAAAGATACACAAAAATTAATTTTTGAATGGACACATTGTTTCAAAAATTAAAATAAAGATACAACCTTTCAAATTAATTAGGATTCACAACCTTTGGAATTAATGGAAATTGTTTTTTATTTTGAATGGAACATTGTTTCAAAATAAAATTTAAAAATTTAAATAAAGATACAACCTTTCAAATTAATGAGGATTCACAACCTTCAGAACATATATATATATATATATATATATATATATATATATATATATATATATATATTTATTTATTTATTTATTTTAAACACATATTACTTACAACCTTTCAACCTTTCTAAAAAAAAACACACATTTACAATATTTTTTAACTAACTTATGAAAAGATACATTGTTTCAGTAATATTTTTAACTAATTTTTGAATGGCCACATTTAAAAGAGGCATTGTTTCAAAACATATATATTTTGAACATATATAAGTTACAACCTCTCGACCATATTTTAAAAAACCTCTTTTACAATATTTTATAACTAACTTTTGCAAAGATACACTGTTCTAATATTATTTTTAACTACTTTTTGAATGGACACATTGTTTCAAAAATTAAAATAAAGATACAACCTTTCAAATTAATGAGGTTCACAACCTTTAGAATTAATGGAAATTGTTATTTATTTTGAATGGACACATTGTTTCAAAATAAATTTTAAAAATTTAAATAAAGATACAACCTTTCAAATTAATGAGGATTCACAACCTTTGGAATAATGAGGATTGTTATTATTAATAGAGGTATGATCTTCATAATATATAAGGAACAGTTCTGAACAAAATTATAATGAAAAGACACAATTTTAGGAATTAATTGGATTATTATTATTAATTGTACAAAGATACACAAAAATTAATTTTTGAATGGACACATTGTTTCAAAAATTTAAATAAAGATACAACCTTTTAAATTAATGAGAATTCACAACCTTCAGAGCATATATATATATTAAACACATATTACTTACAACCTTTCAACCTATTTAAAAAAAAAAACACATTTAAAATATTTTTAGCTAACTTATGAAAAGATACATTGTTTCAATAATATTTTTAACTAATTTTTGAATGGCCACATTGAAAGAGGCATTGTTTCAAAACATATATATATATATATATATATATATATATATATATATATATATATATATATTAAACATATATAAGTTACAACCTCTCAACCATATTTAAAAACCCTCTTTTACAATATTTTATAACTAACTTTTGAAAAGATACATCGTTCCAATATTACTTTTAACTAATTTTTTAATGGACATATTGTGTCAAAAATTAAAATAAAGATACAACCTTTTAAATTAATGAGATTCACAACCTTTTGAATTAATGGAAATTGTTATTTATTTTGAATGGACACATTGTTTCAAAATAAATTTTAAATAAAAATACAACCTTTCAAATTAATGAGGATTCACAACCTTTGGAATTAATGAGGATTGTTATTATTAGTAGATATATCTTCGTTTATCTGTTCCTTCCGGTTGTAAAAAAAAATTGTTACTTCTGTATTGTTGCAACTTTTGAAATCATACATAGCTTTTTCCACAAATATTGATCCACAAATATTGATAAAGATTACTAAGAAACACGGCTAACAACCGTACACAATCCAATAAATAAGTTATATTTTCGTAAGTGTTAGTAAAATTAGATTAGACTAAAATTAAAATTAAACTCCACTTCCAATTTCAGATTCTTTGTGCTGTTTATTAACCTAATGGTAACAAAATTAGTGAGTGATAAGAAACGAGAAGGATTAAAACCCAGATAGAAGTAGATAGTAAAAACCATAATAGGAATTCAAACAGCAAGAGACACAGATATGAGAAAACACAAACTCAAGACCCGTCACAAGAGTGTTTCGAGCACATTCACGCAAACACAAAGGATAACAGAAAAAACCCAAACAAAGTCCATTTTTCCGAGAACAAACTCCTTAGTACTCCTCACCCTCGTCATCCTCATCGTCACCACCTTCAGCACCAACCTCTTCATAATCCTTCTCCAAAGCTGCAAGATCCTCACGAGCCTCCGAGAATTCTCCTTCCTCCATACCCTCACCCACATACCAGTGAACGAAAGCACGCTTGGCGTACATGAGATCGAACTTGTGATCAATCCTCGAGAACACCTCAGCAACACTCGTGGAGTTGGAGATCATACACACAGCTCTCTGCACTTTAGCAAGATCCCCTCCCGGAACAACAGTTGGTGGCTGGTAGTTGATACCGCACTTGAACCCAGTTGGACACCAATCAACAAACTGGATCGTGCGCTTGGTCTTGATGGTTCCGACAGCTGCGTTCACGTCTTTAGGGACCACATCACCACGGTACATCAGACAGCAAGCCATGTATTTACCATGACGTGGGTCACACTTGGCCATCATGGAAGCTGGCTCAAAGGCGCTGTTTGTGATCTCAGCGACTGAGAGCTGCTCGTGGAAGGCCTTCTCAGCGGAGATGACTGGAGCGTAGGAGGAAAGCATGAAGTGGATTCTCGGGTATGGGACCAAGTTGGTTTGGAACTCAGTGACGTCAACGTTCAAAGCACCATCAAACCTCAAAGAAGCAGTCAAGGATGAAATCACCTGCAACGAAATCACATCAGTAAATGAAGCCACATCAATTATTATTAATAGCGTTAAAAAGTTATTAGCTTTATATACCTGAGAGACAAGACGGTTGAGGTTGGTGTAAGTAGGCCTCTCAATGCTCAAGGAACGTCTGCAGATGTCATAGATAGCTTCATTGTCGAGGAGGATGGAGACATCAGTGTGCTCCAAGAGAGAGTGAGTGGAGAGGACACTGTTGTAAGGCTCAACAACAGATGTAGAGACCTGAGGAGATGGGTAAACAGTGAAACCAAGCTTGGATTTTTTCCCATAGTCCACAGAGAGCCTCTCAAGGAGAAGAGAGCCAAGACCAGACCCAGTTCCTCCACCAACAGCGTTGAAGACAAGGAAGCCTTGGAGACCAGTACAGTTATCAGCGAGCTTTCTGATACGGTCCAAGCAAAGATCAACAATCTCCTTCCCAACTGAAGGAAGGAATTTACAAATTAGTAAACAGTAAAGAGAGCTAACAAAAGGTGAATTTTAATTAACGAAGGGGATGAGTGTAAATTAATTACTGGTGTAATGTCCACGGGCGAAGTTGTTGGCAGCGTCTTCTTTACCGCTGATGAGCTGTTCAGGGTGGAATAGCTGACGGTAAGTACCGGTTCTGACCTCGTCGATGACAGTGGGTTCAAGGTCGACGAAGACAGCACGTGGCACGTGCTTGCCTGCGCCGGTTTCACTGAAGAAGGTGTTGAAAGCATCGTCACCTCCTCCAACAGTCTTGTCACTCGGCATCTGGCCATCAGGCTGCAACCAATACAACACACACACATCAGTATATGAACACATACAAAAGGTATAAAGAAGGAACATAATCTAAAAGCGCAAACAACATTAAAACAAATGGAGATCGAATCAACCGTTGCGATCAAACACAGATCTAAACACGATTGTGCGTATAGGTTTCTCGTTCATCGAAACCATTTGAATCTCGATTGCACAGGGATCTAAACGATCTCGAATCAACAGTTTCAGTCAATCACAGATCTAAACATCGAATACATTCGAATCTCGAATCAGTCACAGAGATTTTACATGATATTGAAATGATACGCAGATCTAAACAATTAGGTCGAACGGATCTACAAAATACCTAAGAGCAATCAAATAGGTCAGATCTGATCTATCAAATAGCGTAGAAAACCATAGATTTAATGCGAGGGAGAGGGAAGAAGCGAACCTGAATGCCATGTTCAAGGCAGTAGAGCTCCCAACAGGCGTTTCCGACCTGGATACCAGCTTGACCGATGTGGATCGAGATGCATTCCCTCATTTTCGTTTCGGAGAAGAGAAAACTCTTGAATCGCTCGGAAGACGATGAAGAAGCAGAAGAAAACGGAAGGCGTGTATGAAGACGCTCTCCTTGAAATAGATCTGGTTAATTGATTTCCAGGCCTCACGGATGCTGTTGTATTTATAAGTGGAACCATCTATCTTTAGGGTAACGGCTCGTCTGGGACAGGTGTAATGATTTAATTGGGTGACTGCTAACCACGGTTAGATGCCAGGGAGCTGTTGCGTATTTTCTAATTTTAAAATTGCCGCCTAACGTTCTCTTTGGGATATTATGACCGTTTCTCTCTCTCTCTCATTTTTGAAATTCAAAATCCCTTTAATTGCGGATAAGAGAAGCATAACCGGAAATTAAACCGGATCAGACCCATATCTACTGTAAACCGAAGCGATAATGAATTGGATTACAGACGTTCTATTGGCTCGATGTTTAACTTTATACAGGTGAAATGATGATACTGAAGCTTCTCTTTGTGTATATCAATTTTGATTATAATGTGGAGTTATAATGATACTGAAGCTTCTCTTTGTGTATATCAATTTTGATTATAATGTGGAGTTGTTCTGAGTTTTATGGCATATTGCTAAAGTTCTAAGATTGAATGTGGAAGAGATGTGAAACTACATTCAGTTTTGTATTAGATTCACTAACTTCCTTCTACCAGTTGTGTTGTTTCAGTTTTGTATTAGATTCACTAACTTCCTTCTACCAGTTGTGTTGTTTGTATCTTGCCTCCATCTAGAATGGTTCTTAGTTTGTTTGCTAGCTTTCTAGCTATGTAGTTAGACTAAATCTCTTTTGTGGATTAGTAAATCAAGGACCCATCATTTTATGTACAAATGACTAGTGGCCATTTATGCATCTTCTGCGTGATAGCTTCGTTGTAACTTAGATGAGACTAGGCTTACAAGTTTACTTGAAATTCTTAGTGAATGTAAGTAATTGCTTCTATTTATACAAAGGTATAACATTTTAATGGCAGAGGAGGTTTGGTAGAAGGTTGTCTAGAAACATAGGTAAAACTAGAGTTGATTTTGATTCCCAAGAAGATTAGAAGGTGCTTTTGACACCTTGTGGTAAAAAAATGAGACTGCTATCAATTTGGGTATTGATTAAAAAAAAAATTCCCAGATTAGCTCGAATCATGATAAGTTTAAGAAATGAGTTGTTAGACACTTTATTTGAAGGGTATATGCTCTCATCGTAGGAACTCGGAGCGAGTAGTGTCAGTTTGCTGCGTCTAAGCAATGTAAGTTAGCTATAGTGTAAGGAAACGATTGATTGGTTAAAATCTTGCTCTTTTCTTTTATTGGCATTATAGTTGTATAATCACAAGCTGTTTACGTTACTTGTATTGTCACAGGCCAAAGGCTACGTCAAATGCTACTGAACCCTCCGATCAAATAAGGTATTTTCTTGGATCATGTATGTTTTAACATCTCTCTAAAAGCAATTTTATTGGTGAGAGATACTCACTATTAGACCTCGATTGGTACAACAGATGATAAAGCAGTAGGAATATGATATAGAAGCAGTATGCTGTATAAAATTCGCCAAAGATCTCACTCATGGACGACAAGATTTCTTTCAGGGGCAGGGAAACATGTGCTTCTCCAAACTGTGCTCTCAGCACTTCCCAATTATCCCATGGCCAGTTTCAAAATTCCAAAGTCTCTTTGCAAGCGAATCCAATCGGTACTCACTAGATTCTGGTGGGATAGTGCCCCTGATAAGAGAAAGATGGCGTGGGTTTCCAGGGACCGCATGGCAACCCCAAAATGTGTGGGTGGTCTTGGCTTTAAAGAGCTGGAGACTTTTAATGACGCTCTCCTTGCGAAACTGGGATGGAGAATCATGAACAAGCCGAACGCTTTGCCGTCTAGAGTTTTAAAAGGGAAATATTTCTGGGATTGCACCTTTCTAAAGAGCTCTCAAAAACAGGCTTCTTCTCATGGTTGGACGGGAATCATGGCCGGAAAAACAGTCCTTGAGAAAGGATTGGGGTTTGTGGTAGGAGATGGCGCTACCATCAAGGTTTGGTCCGATGCATGGCTTTCCACCTCCCGTCCTATCACTCCAATAGGACCGCTAACCTTTTCCAACCAAGAGCTTAGAGTACAAGACCTCTTGCTGCCAGATTCTAATGAATGGAACTTACCTCTTATTCGACTCCATTTACCTTTTTATGAGGATGTTATCAGACAATTAATTCCCAGCAGTTTGAAACCACCTGATAGACAGGTTTGGCTTGGAGAAAGTAATGGCTGCTACTCCACCAAATCGGGTTATAGATTGGCTTGCAACCACTACTTACCCCTTCACCCACTTGGTTTTGACTGGATGAGACATGTTTGGAAATTGGATGCTCCTAAGAAAATCCAGCACTTCCTATGGCGTGCTCTTAACAATGCCCTCCCTGTTTCAGACCTTCTTATTCGAAGGGGAATGGAAGTTGAGCCGGCATGTAAATTCTGTGGAGAGCTGGAGACAATTGATCATGTTTTCTTCTCATGTCCTTTTGCCCTTCATGTTTGGGAAATGGCGCCGATATATCTTGTTTCCTCTCAAGAGTTACCCCCAACTTCTCTCATTCAGCTGTTCACTTTAGTTTCCAAAATCCTTAATCTCCCCCGTCGGGTTTAACCTGTTCTCCGCTGTCCCCCTGGATCCTATGGAACCTTTGGACAGCAAGGAACAAGCGGATATTCGAGGATAAAATCTTCTCAGCTGAAGAGACTATTTCTAAAGCTGTTAGGGATGGAAAAGAATGGGAAGCTGCAAAGATTAAATCTGTCTTGGTTAATAATCCTGGACAGTTAACCTCGAGGGCTGTTGACTCTCCTTTACCGACATGCTCAGTTGATGGGGCATGGAATGCAACTAATAAACATGCTGGAATTGGTTGGTTTTTTCAGGATAAGCAAGCAAATTTGGAGATAAAAGGAGCCGCAGCTCGTGATTTTGTGGGATCTGCTCTTATTGCTGAAACTCTGGCCGTCCGGGAAGCGCTAAAGGTAGCCTTCAGCAACGGCCTACACCATTTCAAGGTTTAATCGGACTCAAGTGTCCTCATCTCTGCCCTGCGATCAGGGACGGTTCTGAACGAAATAGCGGGACTTCTCCATGAAATTAGTCACCTCATTCATCTCTTCTCAACCTTATCTTTTGATGTAATTCCTAGATCAGCAAACTTTGTAGCTGATGCTCTTGCAAAAAACGCTCTAGCGGCCTTTTGCCTGCAAAACTCTGTTTAATTTTAATGAAGTAAGCAACTGTTGACCAAAAAAAAAGAAGCAGTATGCTGTAGAAATTATATGCTTTCATTAATTTTTTTTAATAAAGTGATTGGCAGAGCAATAACAGCATACATTTTTAAAATTATCAAGTATAATGATATATTTATTATAAAACAATATTTATATATTTATAAACTATATTAATAATAAATTTGTTATTAAAAATAATGGATCTTGTTCATTATATAAATTATATTATAGTTTATATATGAAATATTATTATCTAAAAAATGTAAAGTTTATTTTCAAAATATTAAATTATTTTTGGCCATAAACATAATTTTAATATTATTAAATAAATTAATTAATTATATATATTTTTATATAAATTATTGTTATTTATTTTATGATAGAGCAGTAAATGATTCATATATCAAATTATCATAAAAATTAATATATGTTATATAATTTATTTATTAGTGCCTTAATAGTATAGACATGTTTATATCTTTAATATATAAATATATATTATGTTATATTTGTTATTAAAAATAATGAACGATATATGTAATTATATAAATTTTAATTTTTGATTATAAAAATAGATATTTTATCTTATTAAATAAAAATAAATTAGTTTTATATTATGATTTTTAAAATTTTATATATTCTAACAATAAATGCTCTCCCAAAAGCTCTATATGGGAGCATTGAGCAAATAACATTTGGAGAGCATTAGCATTTGGTAAATGCTTTTCTAAATGTTTCTTTAGTAAATGTTGATTGTATAATAAATAACATAATGTTTATGCTAATGCTATGCCAATCAAGCCCTTACTAATACAAAAATATTTTGTTAAATAAAAATAAAGTTAACATACTAAACTAAAATTGTTAAGTGCACGAAAGCTTCATCAGACGTGCGTTTCCTGCTTCGGAACTGAAATCGCGTGCGCTTCCTGCTTCGGAACTGTAATCGGAATCGGAACCTTGTGGAATCTTGCGGAATCTCAATTCTAAAATACTTCTAAAATATCCTATAAAAACACGTTGGAAGCTTACGCTTCCACTTTGGAATAACACTTCCAATTTTAAAAAACACAATATCATATATAAATAACTATAATATAAAATTATTTTATGTTTTTAAAATATATAATAGTATATATAGTGAGAATATATATTTTCACTAATATTAATACTATAAATAATATGTATGCACTGTTTTTATTAGAGATATATCATATATATTAGAGATACATCATATATATAGATATATTCAAATATGGTGTGCCAATTATGTATAGAATGTAAAAAATAATTAATTTGTAATATTTTTTATAAACTTAATTTATCTGTATTTTCAAAATTATAATATGCAATCATTTAAAATTAAAATAAATGAATAAATGCTTTATTTTAAATTAGAATCATATAATTCTTAGTTATAGATTTTCTAAAATTTTCTTATATATATATATATATATGTATGTATGTATATTTGGATATACGCTTCCAACACGTATCCGCTTCCTAATTTATTTTATAAATCTCGATTCCGCGTTTCCATATGATTCCGCATCCGCTTCCGTTTCCATGTGACATAGGTAGATACCCCCTAAGTTTTGTATCATTATAATATTATTATTTAATGTAGTTTTGATGTAATTTAGGTTAATAAAAATATTTTTAAAATACTATCTTAAATCTAAATAAACTTTTAGACATATAAAACTATACCGA